ATAAATACGAGCGGGAATAAGGCGAAAGATACAGAACCTCTGGCAACCAGGGTAATTTATACGTGGCAACTGTGACAATATCTCACGCTGATGCATCTGCTAATGAGATGCAAGTAATTTGCCCTGAATTAAGAAAAATTGCCCTCATGATTATAGCCAAATCATATTCGAATAATTTTGCCCTCTATATTATTAAAACGTTAATTTTATCCAGTGTCCTGGTAGCAGATATTACCATTTGGTATGTTTAAATCTCCAGAGTGTGCCAAATGAAAACCTGTGGTAAGTTTTTTTGTCGGTTTAGTCAGCTTAGTTATACCATTATGCCTGTAATAACTGATCATATAAGAGCTAGGACGGTTGTGTTCCCTTTGTCCTGTTCCCACCACAGGACAAAGGGGATGTATCTCGGGGAACGGCATTGAGTACAAACAGTTTTTAGGCCATCGTTCAAGGCCCCAGTTACACAATACCCGTTCGCACCGGAAGGACATCAATTTAGTATGTTTACCAATCTTGTCTGCTCGTACAATTTTCATATTTGTTTTCATACAATTATTTATATGTTACTTATATGATCGCAATTTTTAGTCGGCTGTACACACACCTTATAAAATTATTTAATAATATATAGAGGGCAATATTTGTATATTCGTTTTCTGCATCATTAATTTCTTTTGAAATAGATTGTTTTTATGGTATATGTGTTATGTGAACACGAATATATGAATAAAGCCCCTCCTTAATTATCGAGCTTGCTACGCCACTGCTGCAATGCAAATCCGGTGAAATTTAACACGCTGTTTCAGTTTGTTTGTGCATTTCTGCAAAATTAATCTGCGCAGTTCAAAACTTTAGAAAATAAAAGTTCTATTGATACAGTAAAGATTTCTGGAAAAATATTCCCATATTTTCGTACAAGCTGTGGGGAAGTTTGCTTTGAAGTTTATCATTAACCTGGGGTTATAAAGCTAACCGCTTTCAAACAACCGGCCCCAGAAAACCAGAATGCATACTATTTTCGTATAGCAAGCGCCGAGTTGCGAAAAAAACTCGACTAAACGCCTCTGCGGGAAAGTGAGTCTGCATGACGAAGAGTATTTGCATCTTATATGTAATGACTCTGCTTCTTTGTTTTAGGTATTGTCCATATTGCAAGAAAACAATGAACTAAATTTTGTATTGACATACTAAAAACACGTACATTTCTTGTTTTAATTTTCCTTATATAACGTTGTATATAGTTATATTGTATCTTACGTTGTTATTAATTGGTTCTGCATGTGGGTTGTTTTATTCTGGTATAATAAATGCACTAAAACGGTGAACAGTCTTATTTATGTACAAAAATTTAGGAAACTGTCAGGACGTTTGCATGGGTCGCGGTCACGCTAGAATCATGCTTGCTTGAACTAAATCCACTTGAATCGCTCAACACATCACCTTCCAAGCGTGCTTGCTAGTGTGACCTCGCAAAAACAAACGGGTGTAGATAAAAGGCGGATGGACCGCGGACAGCGGACCACAGAGCATTTTATAAACGCATGATTGCTACCGCAACTAATTATAATACCCTAAATTAAAGTCTACCAGCCTTAGTCTTAGATCTGTGAAATGAATATGTTTTCACCCGTTCGAATTTTTAGCAGTGGAATTTTTTAATCAGCATTCAAATGATTCAATACGTATATGTATGATGGCTATACGGCGTCTTTCTCAGGAAATGTTTGGAAATATTGTAAAAAAGCGCCTTAGTTTTGGAGCTTCTGTTAGGCAGAGTTAAATGACATTTTCACTTGCTGACATTTTCGTACTTTAAATAGTGCTGACTTGTTGTTTTATAATGAAAATAATCCCCGTTTTAATTATAAACCTAAGAGGTTCACACGAAGAAATGGCCGATTTGCATGCGACGACTATACTATATATGAAATTTAGAAATATTAAAGGGTTATTGACTGAGCGTGAGGTCTGTACTGTGAAATATCAGACCGAGGTTTTTTATGGTATGTAGTACAGTTTTGTATGGTATGTAGTATGGTATGGTATGGATCACAGTACAGACCGAACAAGCGAGGTCAATAATCGGTTTATTATATGGCTGAACTGAATCTGTGAGCATGTGCTTTTCGCGCGAATTAAATCGGCTATCGCCAGTTTCACTGGGTAATAATATACCGTAGGCATGCATGCTCAATCAAAAACAATTTGGTTATTTGAAATTTTTATCTTTAAAGCACAATTGGAAATTTAAAAAGTAAAATTTTTTTTCTGTTTGCAAAGCAAAAATTTCCCGCCAGATAAACGACATCCGGGACACCGGTCCAGATATGGAAAATATGGACCACAGGCTGGATATGCGGTTTTACGGACCGCTTGTCAACCAATCAGAATAGAGAATTTTGAAAAGCCATATAATAATATGCATTAAGGGCGGACAATTTGATGAGGTGGATTTTCATTGAGCCCAATAACTTTTTAAACCTCCCAATGCTGCTCGATATTTTTCTGTCATTCAAGGCTCTTGAACATTTTTTTTATTTCGTGGGCACATATAGGTAGTAGGTATTGAGTATAGGCTATGGGTCGTGATTTAAGAGAATTTTTTATAAAGTTTGGACATGCAAACATTCACAATTGTATATATTTACAATTGTATATTTTTGTCATTTCTTTAACTATAGTGAGTTATTGATATTTTCCTGACATATTTATGTAAATATGATATGTTATAATATATATATATATATATATATATATATATATATCTGTCAATGTCACACAGTAATCAGTGTAACAAGCTGTTTGAAAAAATGTATATATGTGTAATGTCAACTTGGGCAACGTAAGTTGGGCAGCGTAAATATTGTATATTCTATTATATGTATATTTGAAGGGCTTAGGGAAGGTTATAATTTCGTTCTACATTTATATACAGTGAAATAGAAATGTGTAAGCACTCACATGAATGGACATTGGCTACGTGTTAGCCTTTTAGTAAATAAAACGGGGATTATAAGTCAGTACAATTTAAAGTATAAAAATGACAGCAAGTGAATGTCATGTAATAGCCCCGCCTAATAATATTTTAATTCAATGGCAGTGTTAGGGCAGTTATATACAGAAGCACCAAAATTTCCAAAAGTTTCACGCGAAAGACGGCGAACAGCCTCCAATCATACATACGTATTGAATGCTGATTAAAAAATTCCATTGCTAAAAATTCGAACGGGTGAAAACATATTCATTTCACAGATCTACGGCTGGTATACTTTAATTTAGGGTATTATAATTAGTTGCCGTAGTAATCATGTGTATCTAAAATGCTCCGCCGTCTGCTTTTTATCCGTCCGCCTTTTATCTACACCCCTCGCAAAACACAAAACTCAAGCATGCTTGAAATCTGACACGATTTGCTTGAAATTTCAAAGGCACCGAAGCACGATCCAAACACACTACAGGTATGTTTGAATCGTGCTAGAATGTGGATCTCAAGTGGATTAAATAATTCAGCCAAGTAAAATGTTGACTTTTAGGAGGCAAATAGACAAGTAATTTCAACATGTCATTTTTAATTTGAATAGAGACAGAAAGCGGTAGATTAGAACTATTTTGCTTACACAACAACGCGCTAAGCAGTGAAAAGTCGAATGAATAAACGGCATTTCTGTATGGAAACCTGAAGCAGAAACCAAATTCAAATTCAAAGTAATTTAGTTCTTGCCCTTGCAATTATATAATATACAATGTTAACATCCCTATTTAATACATATAATATGAATTTGATCATGAATAACGATCGGGCAAGTGATTTTCGCCCGAACCAAGGACAAAGACACATTTCTCTATATTTTCTAAGTCTTAACTTAGTTAGGCCTACAAAATCACAAGAATAATGTATATTCGTTGTCTACAATATGATGGACTTTACATTATTAGATAGGTTTTTAATTTATATCTGTCAACAACAGCAAGCAAGCAAACGTTGCTTTTTTGAATGTGACCGCGACATGCTTGGCTTGCATTCTAGCATGAGCTTGGAATCTCCAAGCATTCAAGACAGGAAACATGCTACAATAACAAACTGTATATATGTTAATGCATGTATATCACATTCAATAATTGTCGGAAACAGTCAAAACAAGATAAGCCAAACAGATATCTATAAAGTATAATGCTCTATCTATGTGTGTGGCCTGTGACCATGCGGTGTTAATGAACAAGCTGGTCCATCTGCAAAATCACACAAAATGTAGGTAGCATTTGGATTGGTTCCTGAGCTGTCTAAACCAACAGTATATACGGGCCACTCAGCTGGACCGGCGGACTGCTAATGATAAAAACTTAAATAATTATTTTCCCATTACAAAATACTACAGATGCGTGAACATGGTAAGTCATGTTCTCTTCTAGTTTTGTTTTAAAACGTTGTTTATACATGCTGCATGCTAATTGCTTGCAGCCATTAACCGGCTTTTCAGCCGAACTAAAGTAAACATGCATTGAAAACTGCTTTGTTTTCAAATTTTATGATATTTAAAATAGGAGAAACATGTTTTAAAATTGCCATTGTTTCTCCTTACTACTAATAGCTATTAAAAGTGTACCGTACATATTAAATTTGGCTTGGTGTGTAGGTCTTCGTTTTAAAACCGATGCTTCTATGACTATGTTGTAAACAACTTTTAATTCATTGTCTAGAAGAAACTGGCTGATTTTTATGATTTTTAATATACTGGAATATAGTTTATTCCAAAGGCTTCAGTGATTGACAGTTATTTAACCCGCGGTATTAACGAACTACAAAAACGGAAGGAAGGATCTTGTATAATGTATTTTGACTTGTAACAAATGTCTTCAAGCTTTGTTTGAAGTATTTAATAATTTATTTATCATGAGCATCGTGGGGGTTCGATTTTGGTGAGTTTAGTTATAGTGCTTCTCTAAGTACGTTCACCAGTTCAACTTGTTTGGTCACCAGTGCCGACACCAGTTCAACTATGTCGAAGCGCCGTAAGTCTTCAAAACCCGATACCTTCTCTGTGGAAAGTTTGCGCGATGAAGCTGAAAAAGAAGTAAACCAAGAGGTAACCGCTGCCAAAATCTTGAACGATCTTGGTTCTATCAAGCTGGATGCAGTAGAAAATGTTCCTGTTGTCGTTATTCTTTGTGCTCTGATTGTCAAATTTGGTGTATCCGTCGTTTGTGCTCTGGCTTGTGTTGTACCATCATTGCGCGTTTTACCTACATCTGTGAAGTCCTGAAGCTACTATGTCCTTCATTGCCTGAGGATGAAGCAAATAGCATTTATCAATGCTTGTCGAACATGCCCAACCATTTCGGCTCAAACACCAGTCAGATCCACGTTTTTGCACTCCCATGCAATCGTTGTCTTCAATGTGACTCAAATCTTGTACGTCACAATGTTCCCGTAGAGATCAAGTATAATACTCTGAATGGGACAAACGAAGGTATAAAAGTTTCCCTCAAATGCAATAAGTGCAGTAAACTTTATGGCTACGCAAAATTTGGCAACCCAACGGATGGCCGGAAATTGTACCCCGAGTCCAGAAGCGCAGTTGAGGCATCAGATGTATGTTTTGTGGATCGGTCGCTGTTAAAGTGGCAAATATCTCTAGTGTAAGTTGTTTTTTAGTTTGCACATTACTCAGTAGTCACTATCATATATCACTGAATGAGATCGCGGATACTATAGGCTTAGTCTGAAAATCCAGGACGTACCAGAACTGTCAAGTTCGCCCATTGCGTTTCGTTAGACTTGCTGAACCCGACTGGTCTTTAGTAGTCTCATAATTATTTTCAGTTATAAGAGTTATAGGTGGAAATTATCGAGTGGAATTTATATACATTTATAAGACATGTTCAGGAACAGCAGCGAAAAACACAACTATCTGTCCCTGACAGGAATCGAACCTGCGTGGCCCTGCGGTTCCAGTGCGACGTTCTAACCGAGTTACAGAGGCCAGTTCGATTCCTGTCTGGGGACCGATAGTTGTGTTTTTCGCAGCTGTTCCTGAACAGGTCTTATGAATGTATATAAATTCCACTCGATACTTTCCACCTATAACTCCTTTCAACTATATTAGTCATACGAGTATGATGCCAACAAAATCTCAGCCTATTTTCAGTTATAGTCTTTCTATATTGAAGACTAATATAAAGTCAGAAAAGTTCTTTCAGTTAGAAAATCGATAAAAACGGATATCGTGTAGCACACGCGAATGCGATAAAACACACACAGCGAAGAAGTAAAAATGAAACAAACTAAGGGAGAAAGGTATAAATGTATATTGTATATTCGGTTGCAGTTGTCATTCATGGGTATCATTTAACGGATTCTCAGAGGCCTATAATGAAGTTCACAAAGGAAGTAAGTACAAAAGCTTGCCCACATACGTATGTGCCTCTTGAGCTACATCATCCGGCCAGTAGCATACTAAAACAATACCGTAACCTTCAGAATATAAGCCCCCGAATATAAGCCCCTATAAGTCACCACATGTACTAATCGCCCACCCATTCCAAATATAGCCCCTGGCCACAAGGCCACCCAAATATTGTTTATCACTATTAATCACTATTATTACTATGCTTAACACTTGTTTATCACTATTACTATATTTGTTTATCACTATTACACTAACACAAAAGATCGTTCATGTATAAGCCCCCAGTATATAAGTACCCCCTTTTATAAGCCCATCAAAAATCGCTTACGAAAGAATATAAGCCAAGGGCTTATAGCCGGAGGTTTACGGTAGACCCCCTTCGATAATTACGCCACGACTATTCGCTCTCATCAGTAAAAGACGATTGACTCATGATTCATGAGAGCGAGGCTTGTAGGCCAAATGACGTAATTATCGCAAGGTTGTATTTCAAAGTACTCTGACCGAAATTCCGCGAAGTCACGCCAGTGTGAAACAATGGATTGAAATGCAATGTGGAAAACTTGTACCATAAAATTTACCAAATGTTTCTATGAATTGAAAACTGGGTAACATATGTCTATGTTTTTGGATGTATAACAATTAATAATCACTAATCCTAAAAATATAACATTCATTTGTGTCTAAATAGATTTTGGAGAAAAACAGGTGGCTGCAGCATTTTGGAATGGCGAGCTGGAGAATGAGTTGAGAGAGCTCGGCGTTCTGGACTTTTTTGGAAAGTTAAGAACAGATAAAGATAGAGAGGAAGTCATGACGGAGATTGATAAGATTCGAGCAAAAACTATCTACGAACATCCACAAGAAGAATGTTCGGATGTTTGTAAGGAGCGTGGTAAGAACTGACATTGTGTCTATTGATCCAGAACTATCTCTATATTCTTCATGTATATATTCTCTCTAAATAAGATGTTCTTTTAACAATTAAGGATGCGGAAAGCTTTGGGTAGCAGATGGGATCTGGAAGCCAGCCATCTACGTCTACAACTAGTCTCCAGCCATTGACGTCTACTAGTGTCCAGCCATCGAAATCTACCTGTGTCCAGCCATCGACGTCTACTAGTGTCCAGCCATCGGCATCGACGACGTCGACCTGTGTCCAGTCATCGACGTTTAATATATGGAAAGTGTTGGCGCTTTTATTGGCTTCGAACCTTTATATTTTCGGTACAGGAATGTTACAAATATCATATCTCTCATTGCCAATTTGGCATCTTATAAATGCCGCCGAAAACAACTTTGAACGATCAAAACCACTTAAAGACCACACATATATAGTGAAGCGACCAACCATAGAGGACCAACTTATTAATATGGGTTACCTACGTTTCTAAAACCTGCCAAAAATCATCTTTCATGGTTCGCGTAGCCTGTGTAAAACCGTTCTAGGTTCGCGTTGCTACTTGCTCATGGCCGTGTGTTTAGCCGGAAGTGATTTTCTATTTGTGACCGTGTGACCCGTGTGACCGGTCACAATTTTGTGCCTGTTATTCCCAAGAAATATATCGTGCATCAGATGTCATTTTTACTTGCTGGGAAGATGGCGGCCGAGATGCGCGAGGCGACATGCGCGGCGCCATTTACATCAAAGGTTCCGACTCGAGTGGCACTTCTATTCATTTCTTATTCTATGGCATAGCTCTGGAGAAATCGAATTGATTCAGGCCTGTGATTGGCTAACGGCAGATAGTACGTTGGATTTCCAACGTGAGTTCTATATAAACAAAGTATTTGGAATTTTTTTCGTCGAAAATTTGATACTTTTTACACCGAAATCGATTGAAAACAACTAGAAATTCTGGAGGAAATATGTACAAAAGCTTCGGATTGATAGGGATACAACTATATACCTGAAAAATACAAGGAGAACTTCGACGTTTCGAGCGAAGGCACTTCGACTTGTACTGTTAGTGTTTGTATACATCGTACTTGACCTTTTATATACTGTCATACCTATCACTACGTATACCATAAATTCTGACAGAAGAGTTAAATGTAAATTTTAAAGCATCAAAATATATAATACTTATTATTGAGGAGATTATATTTATCAGC